AAGAAGCACCTGTAGTGCCTGATGGAAACGCTCCGTGGGAATGGATGTGAAGAAACCGGAAAGGTTCTGAGACACCAGGTGGATGTATTCGGCGGGATCTGTCTTTGACAGCGCGTCCCAAAGCTGTTGGACAAGCTCCTGAACCGAAAGCTGACCTGGTATGTCTGGAAAGGTGACTTTGGTAAGTTCAAATATGAGGGCGCCGAAGACCGTGAGGAAGGGTGCTGCCCACGTGCGAAAGAAAGAAATGATCGGTCTTGCTTTCTGCCAGTCCTTGGTCGGTTTGGGAAGGATGCGGGCTGTAGGCAACGGTGCTTGGAGTCGAAGTCCCCACGCGTAACGCTGATGTAGGAGAGAAGGTATCGTAGTGACCACTTCTGAGCGAAAGGATGCTGCAGATTCACGACACAGCGAAAAGACTTCTCCCGAGCAAAAGGTCTTGTGCATCAGTATGGCAAACAACGAAGCACAAAACAACCCACGAAGACAGAGAAACCACGGTGCGCTGTAGTGATTCGGATGTCCAGTGAGCACGATCATGAAGGTTGGAGCGATGGGCATCAGTCAACTGAGTCATAACAGGCCGTAGATCAGTAAGGAGACTGGATCCATGTACATGCCACCGACGAGCTAGTTTGCGAAGCTGTGTGGTAAAACGCTGATGCAGCATGTCAACATCGCCAAAATATTGATCCTTCATGGACGCGGTCATGATGTCAATGTCGATGTCTGCATTGATGCGTGAGAACTCATCTACCATTACTACATGTTCATGTGCACGATGTAGGAGGTGGTCATCAATGTCTGAACAGCGACACGGAAAAGATATGTCAGGAGTCCACCTGCGTTGCCATGTGCGGTAGTTGTAGATCCTGTCCCCCAAGGTCAGGAGTCCACCTGCGTTGCCATGTGCGGTAGTTGTAGATCCTGTCCCCCAAGGTAGCACTGCGAGTTTCCACCGCCCGGATCTTTGGAAGAAATAGGGAGGGAAACAAGTCACGATGCGAAGCAACCCAACGTTGTAACCATGTGCCAAGCTGAGCTTTCCAATTCCACACATGTAGAGGTGGGAGAAGTAGTTGTGTCAAAGTGCTTGGTGATTGAAGTTGTCGTTTGTGCATTACCTGGGTGAGGAGCTTCTGTGCCTTAGAACGAAAAGGCTCGTTGACGAAGACGGAGAGTCGTAGGAAGTAGTAGAGCTGAGTATAGGGGGAAAAGCCGCCGACAGTAAGTCTTGCATAGCCTGGAACGACGCACCTGTGTTGGATCCCAGCTGATAAAGAGTGGAGTAATGCGCTTGAATGTCATCCAACATTTCAGGTCGTAATTGCCGTTGAAGATCCGCATGTAGTCGTCGTCGGAAACGTTTGTGTAGCCCGAGTGAGGGGGGAGATGACAACGAATGACGCCGAAAGTCAACCAGATGCTCACGGAAGCCAATTTTTCGAAGAAGTCTATGTACCCAGGGAGCATTCAAATGCGGACGTAGCAAGTATTGCCACTTGCTTTCCTGGACCCAAACCGAGGAAATGGGAAGTTTGATCTCAACCGGAATGGCACAGAAAAGCCAGTAAGTGTTGGATCGCTTCCAGTAGTGAAGTGCAGGTTCGAAGAAGGCATGGCGTCCCCGAAGTAGTTGTAGAAATTTGCGACTGCGTGAGTGTTCTCGTCGAAGAACATCCTGATCAGTTGCTCCAACGTAGTATGGACTGTGCCATGGAGAAAGTCTGATGTAGACGCATGGTTGTTGATGGTGACCTGGATCTTGAATGAAGTCATAGAGGTCCGGGAAACGTGTCCGTAGTGAGCGAAGGTGTCTTGTGTCCGCAAGACTGGAATGCATGATTTCACACAACAGAGACGTCTTGTAGAAGTGAAGAACCTCGAAAAACGGCGGGACATACCCATAACCTTGAGAAATGAGACGCTGCAAGAAACTGATCAATAAATAGGCAGTGCACCGGCACCTGTGAAGTTCATACCTGTTGGCCACAGTGTGATAAGACTGCGACATGGAGTGAATCGGGATCTGAAGTGCGATCCGAACCACAACTAGTACTTCCAGAATAAGGCCCAGCCAAGGTAGCCGCTCAACTGACTCATATTCATCCATTGGTATCGACGGTGGTGGAAGTCCAGGAAAGCAGTATTGCCAGCACGTAGAGAACATTGTCAACGAGTGCAGAAAGGTATCTAAGGAATGCCATTGTGCAACATCATCATAGATTCCACAGCGGCGAAGCTCAGCCAACATGGTGAACATGCAACCAATGAAATCTACAATGTGGCGGCGACAGGAATGCAAGCGGCAATTAACACCAAGCAATTCACAACGCAAGCAAAGACAAGCACATCATCAAACAAGTGCAGAGCAAGAAGAGGACGGACAAGTTTTGAACCATTCATCAATCATGACACAGCTGCCACTCCGGGCTCATAAGTGAACGAAGGTAACTGCTCACCCTGTGAGTAAGCGGGCAGTCACGACTTGTCAGTGAGCTTGGTGAGGTAGCCAGGCTCCAGTCCCCACAGAGCCGCCATCGCCCCAAACATAGGTGCGTCTCCTTTTGGAATAGCTGGGTCGACATGGATTCCAAGGACTTGTTGCCGTTGAGACGGGATGGGTGATTGGCCCACTTGATCAATGACGCCAAAGTAGTGGTAGTGGGCGATTGCTTGAGATACAAGCGTGGTTGATCACTAGTCCATGTGTAGTACTTGATGACGTCTGCAGGCGTGCTGTGCATGGTGAGCAATTGTGACGCCGCCGGCTTGGAAGGCGGTGAAGAAAGTCCGTGCAGAGACTGGATGATTCGGGGTTGCACTGCGCCATCAAATGACTTGCCATCAAGGGCTGCTGCACTGACCGTAGGTAGGGAGCTGGTCGGTGACGAAGATTGTGTGTGATTGGTTGGCGGTGGTGTGACCAACTCTGCATCATCCTTCTGGGTTGGCACCGTAGGGGAAGTCGAAGCGCGTAGCGATGCCGAATACTGAGCCTGTAGCAACTCATGAGCTCGATTTAGATCATTGAACTTCTTGACCATGTCTTCCGTTTGGGTAGAGGGTGTGAGAGTCGCGTGTTGCTGCTGAAGGAACTGAAGCACCAAGTTGGCCAAATGGTCATGAACCTTGATACGCTGAAGTCGTCAAGGTTGAGCCCCAGTGAGCTGGCAAGGTCCTTCTCTAAGGTGAGCAGGTTGATCGACTGTGATCGTCGTAGTAGTTTGGAACAGGTACTCCAAAGTAGGGCCTCGGTGCAAGTGCGAAAGCCTTCCCATGTCACGAATCTGCCGTGAGCAAATGGTCGGAGCAGCCAGTTGGTGATGCCCCCGTGAATGACCTGAACCAGGCGAACATCACGAATGTCCATGCCGGACATGTCACGTAGGTTGTTGTGCGGGGTGTTGGCGACCGTCATGGGCAGGCTGAAGTTGTAGAGCCGGTTAATGTCTAGCATGCCATCTTCAGGTGTCCAGTCAACCGGTGGTGTAAGCCATGCTTTCTGAGGTCGAACTGGCAGGGCTGCAGGGTATCCAGATGGTGTAGCTTGAGAAGGAGTGACCGGTGGTGGCATCACGGGCGTGATGAACTTCGCTGGCGTGGGCTCTGGAGGAACCGGTATCATGTAGTTGACCGGTGAATGATGGAACTGCTGCGTGGGGTTTGGAATCGATTGATAATTGCCTGGCATCACCGGAAAGTTGTTGCTGGAGTTGTAGCCTGAATTGTGTTGCCAGGATACCAGGTTGTTCCAATCCATGCCCTCCGAGACCTGATTGTCATTGTGTTCGCGTCGGCGTGCTTTGTGAGCTTGAGGGGAAGGACTCCGATCCCGTCTGCGCCGTGTTCTGGATCTGTCACGATCATCCTGTCGAGACATGATGGCACAACAAACTCAAAACTGCGACACCTCAATCTTGAGAGAATCGAATCCGACAAGATGCAAGTCAACGCAAGTGCAAGCCAAGCACAGATCAACACGCGGTCATGCAGCCACCAGCAGCGATTGTGAGACTTAGCTATGATCTGACGGCTGTCTTCCCTTTAGTGAAACCTCGTTCCTGGTTAAATCAGAAATTCCGCTGTTCTATGATAAGCACGTTGAGGTCAAATTTTCCAACAGAGCCGGCCCGGGGTCACACAATGGGTACACCCGAGGATTCCCCACGAATGGGGTGTACACACTTAAACTCCAGATGGAGGGTGCTAATCTTTCGAGTACAACTGATGAGGCTCGAGTACAACTGACAAGTCTCAAGTCGGATAAGGTTCGGCTGGCAGGTCACTTGGCTTCACTCTAGTGTCGAAAACGTTACAAGGGTCAACATGAAGCACACACAGCGGCAAAAGAAGCGGCCAACTGGACTTTCATTAACATCACTTCACAAAAGCAGGTACACACGGGTGATCAATCCGTGCATCCACCATCAAGCATAGCTTCGTTGGCCAGCGTTTGCTTGATGGCCGCTGGCCCCTGCTACTAATTGTGGTGACAGGGTATTCTGCCACTCCGCACACACACACACACACGCGCGCACACACGCACGCATGCAACGCACGCACGAACAAATGCACGCATGCAACGCTCCCACGCACACCCGCCCGGCATGCCCGCCCGCCCGCCCGCCCGCACGCACCCGCGCGCACGCATGCACGCATGCACATTCACGTGCGCACACACCCGAACGCACGCACGCACGCACGCACGCACCACCGCCCGCCCGTACGCACGCACACCAACCCACACAAAAAAACAACAACAAGCAAGCAAACAAGCAAACAGGCAAGCAAGCAAACAAGCAAACAGGCAAGCACCGAGAGAGAGAGAGAGAGAAAGAAAAAAAAGTCTCATGCTCACACGCACGCACGCACGCACGCACGCACGCAAGCACGCACGCACGCACGCACGCACGCACGTACGCACACACACACACACACACCGGAGAAGTGGCTACGGATTTCCCGAACCTCTAGTGGCGTGGTTTCTGCCAAGGCTCTGGGAACTTGGTCTCCAGCTTGGCAAAGCCTCGCTTCCAGCACAGGCGCTCCCGTCAAGATGCAATGGGAACCGTGTGGAGCAGGGCCCCCAAAGGATGTTCCTCGTAGGGGTCCAAGGTGAAGAGCGTGCTTCCCAGCACCAAAGAGCAGAGGGAAAATGCAATTTGAAGCGGTACATGCATATTGACTCATGAACCACAGAGTCGGCATCGCTGTGGTCCCGACGCTGCTCACAACTGTGGAAAGCCCATTTCTTCAGGATCGAAAAGTATTCCTGATCAAGCACAACTGTCGGTTTCTTAGAGCTAAGTGCCCTGTTGCATTTTTGTGTTGGATGCATGTGCATGATGCATGTCGTCCCGGCGTCCTGTAAATTGGAAGATCATATTTGGAGCATTCGGAAGGCTTGAGTACTTTTGTTTGCTGCATGTGTATTGCGTCCTTTGTTGGTTTGTGCCAAGGACAAGCATTCCTCTTGGTACATGTGTTACAGCTTCAGCTGTTCGAAGCATGCAAGTGGCTGCTTTACTGAAGAAGTTTAGATTGATTTCATGCCGCTCTGGAAAGTGGAAGGCAAACCACCGCAAAGAACACGTCCAGCAGGTAACAGAATTCGACCTCCTCCAAGAGTGCCCTCTATGTGGCAGTGTTTCTTTTGGGCGCTGATGCCACAGCCAAACTAACTTGGGGCGAGTCACAGCCAGCACTTACTCATCTGCTTTACCAGTTGAAGCTTCGGATCCAAACCAAGATGTCACATCCTTTTCCTTCCTCTTCTGCGTGGGACATGCTCATGGGAATCTTCTGTAAAGATGAGCAAGGGTCTGAGTAAGATGTCGAATATCTCTGAGGAGTCTTCACGGAACTCCAGGAGTACCTTCCCCATTCTTTCCAGGGATCCTTCTCTTCAGGAAACCATCCAAAACCCAGGGGAAACAGATCCAGTTTTTAAAAAGAACAATGGTTAAAAAGAATGGAAAAGGAATCAACCCCTAGAAGAACATCCCAATCCCCACTAAAATAGGTTCTAAAATGGGTGGTGAATGCACCTCTCCCAACATGGGATCCCATTGGTTTTTGACCCACAGCCAACTCGCCATTCTCCGTCCGTGTTGAGGCCCGGGCCCTGCTCGATGAGCTCCATGGGGGCGCCGGCCAGCCGGGCGTTGATGAGGCTCAGCTTCAGGTCCTGGCTGAAGGGATGTGAGACGAGACGGCGCCAGTGGAAAATGGAGTCCACTTCTGTAACCTGTTTCCATCCAACAGCTTGATTAATGGATGGATGGATTAATGGATGGATGGATTAATGGATGGATGGATTAATGGATGGATGGATGGATGGATGGATGGATGGATGGATGGATGGATGGATGGATGGATGGATGGATGGATGGATGGATGGATGGATGGATGGATGGATGGAGGGGGACACACCAAAGATGACCCTCCCCCATTTCCCCCCAAAAAAAAAGGTGGGAGATTCTCCCGAAAATGGGGGGGGGAAGGATTCCGAGTTGCATCACAGAAGTTGGAGAAACCGCGAGTGATCGAACCCTGAGGCGCATCTGGAGTCTTGCCGAGCCACAGCGCTTCAGCGATGTTGCTGGAATCGTGACAAACGGCACCACCGTGAATCAGGCCAACGGGGCTATGGGCAACTCTCTACAAAAGGGTCTCTAGTGTGATCCTGAAAAGTGTCAACAGCCCTGGTGAGATGCAAGTGTGGCAACTAGGAAACCGAGGCATTCAAAGCTGGCAATCCGATCTCAATATATGCCATAGAGTACACCGCAAAGGCAGCAACGCACTCCGAACTCTGTGATAGGGTCGGTTGATGCAGTGTCACCACTGGGAAGGATACAAACCACAGCACCTCTTGGACATTGTCTCTCCAACCTTGTTTGCCTGTATATCATCATGTGACAATGCGCATGCGCAACTGCTTCAGAGTAACAAGGATCCTGTGCATTGCAACAAGCCCGCCCAAACCAGGATCAGTCCAACCCAACGCCACATATAGCATACATAACAGATTCGCCGGGCACCCTGTTCGAGCAAAAAAAAACACGCGCAAACATACAGGACAGGACACATAAGCGGATGGAGGGACGGACGCACGGACAGACAACAGACAGGCAGACAAACAAATAGACAAACAAATAGACAAACAAATAGACACACAAATAGACAAACAAATAGACAAACAAATAGACAAACAAATAGACAAGCAGGACAGGACAGGACAAACGAATAAATATCCAGATCTGTTGTGCACAACCGCGCCTCAGTCACCAGGAAGTGTAACATGTATCCGAACTGCCCAACTTCGCCGTCGCTGCCCCGCCGCGCGCCTCTCCGGGCATGTTCTGAGCAATGGCCTCTTCCAACCTAACGGATGGCACTTGGCAATGGGTCAAAACAGAGGGTGCCCCGGACACCCAGAAAGCCTTCTAAAAAGATGACAGTGGAGTGGCGACCATCCCAACACTTGGCGCGGCTTGAGGATTTCTTAGTGCAGGGCTCTTGCACCGTGAGGTCGTAGTCCTTCTGGCCTCGGCGTCTTCGTTGTGGCGGAACATTGAATGACCCCATGGCGAGAATGGGTCACTGGCGAGTGCTGGGCACTGAAGGCTCCTGATATGATTGCTCCAAGGAACTGCATGTCCTGATTGCTCAATTTCTTGTTCAATCGATGGCAGTCATCCCCCTTACCCGCAGCATATGTTGTCTTCTGTCCATGGGCAAACAGGGTGCAGTGCCGAGGATGGCGAGAGAATCGCCAAGCTGCACGCGAGCATTGGCAGCCCATCCAAAACAGGCACTAAGCTACCTGAAAGCGAGAGGAGACCAAATACGAGCGTCGCAAGATTCAAGGATTCAAACAAAAGCGCTCACGCTATGGCTCCAGCTCCCACTTTGGCTCAAACTTAAGAACCGCCTAGAATCCTCAAGATTCTACGGCGCTGAGCCCCGGCTGTTCCGAACCCCCACCGCCCCCCACCCCGGCCCCCGCGGCAAAAAACCAGATGGCATGGCCAAGGCCTTGGCGCATCTTGGCCTCCTCCACCAGCTCGGCATTGAGGCCGTGGCTAACCTGGGCCTCTGCCATGGCAATCACCTGGGCAATTGCCCCCGAAATCGGAGCCTGAGGCTCTGGGACCACTCAGATGGTCCAAAACCATCAACTCACACCAAATCCAAGCAAACTGGACTAGACCAAACACTCCAAACGCTCCAAACGCTCAAAACGCTCAAAGCACTCAAGACTCAAGACGCTCCACATATCTGCAAATCCCCACGTCTTTGCGAACCGCTGGTGCGTGGGGCACCCACCCCCGCCTCTGGCAGCTCCGAGGCATAGCGCTCCACAGCGCCCAGCACCCGCTCGATGGATGCGGTGGCTGTGTGCACGTTGGCCAAGTCCTCAGCATGCTATCACTCGCCCAATGGAACAATGTGCACATACACGCTTTGAGTCACTTGCTCAAAACCCGATACAAAAATGGTCGACCCAGAACTATCTAAAGAAATAACAAGGCGGATATCCGCAGCTATTTATGGCTGTGATCGTCCCTTACTGGCCTTCACTTGCCCGGGTTTTGTTTGTGGCTCATATCGCACTGCCTTACACTACACTACATAGTCAGCGCTGACAGCCGCCTGGGATGAACAAAAACGCCTGCGCTTTCCCTGCGCCAGCGAAAATTTCGCATTGCAACCGCGCGACCTCTAGATTCGGCCATGTCGCCATGGGTCAAAAGCCCATACCCCCAGTGAACATTCCAATCCCCACTAAAATAGGTTCTAAAATGGGTGGTGAATTCACCTACCAACCAACCATTGGTTTTGACCCACGGCCACATGTTGTACCGTAGTGTGACTCACGGAAAGCGGCAAAACTGCCCCCTCGTGCGCACGCAGAAGGCCGCCGCCACATGATCCGAGGTCTTCGCTCAAACATTTTCACGCACGAGGTCAAGCGAGAGTTTCTTTGAACACCCTAAACCAACCCAAAGCCAACCAACCCTAGACCAACCCTGAACCGAAACCAAGCCTGAACTAATCCTAAACCGACCCTAAACAAGACCTAAGACAATGTAAACTAAACCTAAACTGATGGACGGATCAGACCGGGCTGTGGGCAAGCCGGATCGGGCCGCGCGGAACGGGCCGGAAGCCGGATCGGGCTGGACCGGCCCTGCGGGAAGCCAGAAAGCCAAAGGCCGGAGGCCGGAGGAAGCCGGAAGCCGGAGGCCGGAGGCCGGATGTGCCAAATGCCGGCCGCCAGCAGCACGATGACATCCGCACGCAGCCATGCCGCGTCAACTGCGGTCAACATCTTGTAACAAATAATGTTACGCAACCAGTCTCAGCGCATGTCCGCTTTGTATTCTATTTTCTGAAACTGTTCTGTCTTCTGTAGTTTGCAACAAGCCGTGCTCTGCATTGCGTATTCGCAATAGCACATATTCTGTCTTCCGTGCTCTGCAAGCTGGTGTTCTTGAAGCCACGCCCGCTATTACCCCCCACCCCCACACCCAACCCGCCCCCCCCCCCAACCCCCTCAGACAGCCTCTTCCTTTCATTACATTACATTACATTACATTACATTACATTACATTACACTACATTACACTACACTACACTACATTACAATACAATACAATACAATACAATACAATACAATACAACACACACACATTACACACATTACATACATTACATGCATGCCTGTATGCATGCATACATTACATTACATTACATTACATTACATTACATTGCATTACATTGCATTGCATTGCATTGCATTGCATTGCATTGCATTGCATTGCATTACGTCACACTACATGCATACACACATACAGTACACAAATACATGCTTGCATGCGGACAAAAAAAATGAACATGCACATTACATTCCATTACTTTATATTTCATTACATCACATCACGTTACGTTACATTACATCCATACGTTCATGCATTACATGTTGACATGTATTACATATATTTCATACAGAACATACATGTCATTCTTTGCAGAGATACATACATACCTACATATGTACATACATACATTACACATTATACATACATGCATACGTACGTACGTACATACATTACAATACATTACATTACATTAAATTGCATTACAGTACATTACATCACGCTACACTACATGCATACACACATACAGTACACAAATACATGCATGCATGCAGACATAATTATGAACATGCATACATACATTGCATTCCATATATTTCATTATATCACATCACGTTACGTTACATTACATCCGTACGTTCATACATCACCTGAATTACATATAGTTCATACAGAACATACATGGCATTCTTTGCAGAGATACATACCTACCAACATATGTACATACATACATACATACATACATACATTACATTACATTACATTACATTACATTACATTACATTACATTACATTACATTACATTACATTACATTACATTACATTACATTACATTACATTACATTACATTACATTACATTACATTACATTACATTACATTACATTACATTACATTACATTACATTACATTACATTACATTACATACATACATACATACATACATACATACATACATACATACATACATACATACATACATACATACATACATACATACATACATACATACATACATACATACATACATACATACATACATACATACACATACATACATACATACATACATACATACATACATACATACATACATTACATACATACATACATACATACATACATACATACATACATACATACATACATACATACATACATACATACATACATACATACATACATACACATACATACATACATACATACATACATACATACATACATACATACATACATACATACATACATACATACATACATACATACATACATACATACATACATACATACATACATACATACATACATACATACATACATACATACATACATACATACATACATACATACATACATACATACATACATACATACATACATACATACATACATACATACATACATACATACATTACATACATACATACATACATACATACATACATACATACATACATACATACATACATACATACATACATACATACATACATACATACATACATACATACATACATACATACATACATACATACATACATACATACATACATACATACATACATACATACATACATACATACATACATACATACATACATACATACATACATACATACATACATACACTACACTACACTACACTACACTACACTACACTACACTACACTACACTACACTACACTACACTACACTACACTACACTACACTACACTACACTACACTACACTACACTACACTACACTACACTACACTACACTACACTACATTGCATAAATACACACATACCACAACATAACACATACACACAAATCATCTCCCCCTCTCGCGTTGTCTTTCTCTCTCTCTCTCTCTTTGTCTCTCTGTGCAGGTTTCGAGGAGTTGATAGGTAACTCCATGCATCAGCATAGGGCTACATTCAAGATTGCAAAATGAAGAATGACTACATAACCTCAGTCATCCAAAAGGCTCGAGGGCCTGGGCGTTTTGGCTTTGGCCGTTCCGTCAGATCCTTGGGTTCGTCCTCTCACAGATTGGCCAAAGGTCAGCCACAAGTGTTTGCCCAGCCGATGGCCGATGTTTTTTCCGGCGCCAAAAAAAAACTGCAGCGCCTGGCCTCGCCAGAGAGCGGCGAGGTTTTTCTGGGGTCCCGTGTTCGCATCACCGGGGGGTCCCGTGTTCGAAACTGGGCGTCTGGCGCGGCCCCCGGGCAGCGCAAGCTGGAGACCCCGCAGGTCCCGCTCCAAGGTGCGGATGGCCACGTCCGGGACCTGATCTCGCCATGGCGAGCGCGTTGGGGGGGGGGGGGGGGTGGCAGGGAAGATTAGGTCCTATGTGGCGTGCGCGCGCGGGATGATTGTTTCCCCCAAAGTGGTACGCGCGGGGGGGATGTTTCCCTCACTCATGATACACACACACACACACGCGCGCACGCACGCACGCACGCACGCACGCGCGCAAGCACGCACGCACGCACGCACGCACGCAAACACAAGCAGAGAGAGAGAGAGAGAAACTGAGAGCACAAAGGGCACTCAAACAGAGTGTCAAGCAATACACACACACACACACCAAGTACACTAACACAAACAAAACACCCTTTTTCTTTTTAATTTTCGAATCATTCTAGAAACTCCCAAAGGGGCAGGGGACTGTTGAGGAATTCCGAAACAATTTCTTCTAGCTCATTGAAATTTATACTTGTTCTATTTATTACCCAAGGGACGGGCGCGCTCTGGGGAATTCCAGGTGCATTGTCCTAATTCTTACAGCTATTCTGATTATTACATTTTTTTCACCAAGGGACGGCTGCCCTTTGGCGAATTCCAGATTCACGTGTTTTCGAATCATTCTACGTGATTTTATATTTATTCGCAAAGGGGCGGGTGCATTTTGGGTCAAATGTGTTCGAGTTAGTCTACTTCTCATAGCAATCATCACTCTCTGATGTATTCCCACAGGAGGGTACCTTTTGGGGAAATCAACATTCATGGTTGATCTAATTATTTTACTCATTCTAACAACTTAAGCAAATCTAAGGATTCTCTTTGTTTTCAAGCCATTTGGTGAAGTCCAGTGTGGTTTCCAGGTCATTCTGCTCTGATTATTCTGGTTGTAGCACGCATTCCCAACGGCACGGGGCCCCTTGTGGGGAATCCGCCCCTAATTAGTTCCTTTGTTCTAGCTATTCCCAATGACTGGTGCCTTTTCGGAAATCCCAATTCCAGATTCATGTGTGTTTCAACTATAGTATTCTAACTAATCAACTTATTCTCATTATAATCATTCCCAAAGGGGCGGGTGTGTCTTGTGGAATTCAAGATCCATGTTTGCCAGCTATTCTACTTATCATAACTATATTACTTGTTCTAATTATTATAATTCTTCCCAGAGGGACGGGTTGCTTTTGGAGAATTCCAAACCCATCTTTGTCCTACTGTCTTAATTATTGGGTATGCTTCCCCACAAAATTACAATTATTCTCATTTACATACTTATTGCGAAAGGGGCGGGTGCCTTTGGGGGAACTCCAGATTTATGTTTGTGCTAATTATTTGAACTAATCTAAGTATTCTACTTCTTCCAAAAAGTGGGGTGCCTTTTGATGAATTCCAGATTCATGTTTTCTAACTATTCTACTTATCATAACTCTTCTAATTCTCATCATTATTCCCAAAGGGACGGGTGACTTTTGGGGAATTCAAGAGCCCTGATTGCTAAGTATTCTACTTATCATAATCATTCTATATTATTCTAATTGAATCCCTAGGGAGCTGGGGTGCGTCTTGGGGAATTCCAAGCTCGTGTTTGCCCTGGGTAGGATAATTGTGTCAAAAGGGATGGGGCCTGTTGGTGGCGAGATTCGTGGTTCCCGCATTGTTCAAACTATTCGAGCCATTCCCAAATGAGCAGCTCCCATTTAATAAGTTCTAGATTATTTCCCTATTTTCTATTTGGTCCCAAACAGGAAGGTGCCGTTTAGTGAGTTCAAGATTCACGTTCGCTGATTAGTCTACTTATCATCAGTCTTGTAAAATACTACTATCATTATTATTTACAAGGGACGGGCACCTTTGTTGTTCTAGGTACAACAATTACTACACAAGAGGTGGGTGCCTTGTACGTCTTCCCATTATTCTTGTCATTCCCAAAGGGGGGGGTGCTTGCGAGGAATTCCAGATTCTTGCTTTTTCCAATTCTTTATTCTCCAAATTGGGGAACTTTCAGATTCATTGTTTCTCTAACTACTCTACGTACAATATGTTCTGTTCTTGGGCGTGCCCAAATTATTCCAATTATTCCCAACGGGACGGGTCCCTTTTGAGGAATTCCAGATTCATTTTCTAGTCTAGCACATCTACTCATGAACTTATTATAATCATTCTTCCCAAAGGGACGGGTGCCTTTAGGGAATCTCCAGATTCATGTTTGCTCTAATCTTTCTAGTTATTCTAAATGTTCTGTTGTTTCTTATTATTCCCAAGGGGGCGGGTGCCTTTGAGGAATTGAAGATTCATGTTTTGCATACTAGCCTACTTATCATCGCCATGATTTCTCCATATTCCAAGAGAGGCGTGCGCCTTTTGGGGAATTCCAGGTTCATAGTTTGTTTCTGTTGGTTCTACTTCTGATATATTTTTCTCATGATTATTCTCATTCCCAAAAAGACGGGAATTCCAGGCTCTTGTTTTTGCAACTGGTCATTCCCAAATTTGGGGGAGATTCTGATTCATGGTCTCTCTCTTATTCAACTTCAGGTGTTTTGGAACTATCCGCATTGTCCAAGTATCGCCAACGGGGCGGCCCTTTTGAGGAGTTCCAGATTCATTGTCTGCTACACTAATTCTACTTCTTATGATCAGTCTTCTCAAAGGGACAGGTGCCTTCTGGGAATCTCCAGGTTCATGTGTGTTCGATTATTCTAGTTGTTCTAACTGCTCTAATTTTCTAATTACTCCCACAGGGACGGGTGCCCTTGAAAAATTGAACATTCATGCTTGGGAAATGTTGTCTACTCATCGTAGCTATTATAATGATTATTCTTATTCCCAGAGGGACAGGTGCCTTTTGTTGAGCTCCAGAATCATGTTTGTTTTTTCAATGTTTTTAATGATTCTAGTTCTGATAACTGCTCTATTTATTCTTGGCATTCCCAAAGGGACAGGTGCCTGTGGGGAATTCCAGATTCTTGTTTTTCAATTTCTTCATTCCTCAAATTGGGGAATTTCAGACTCATAGTATCTCTAATCCTTCTACTTCAGATATTTTCTGTTTTTGGAAGTACCCGGATTATTTCAATTCTGCCCAACGGGACGGGTCCCTTTTGAGGAATTCCAGATTCAATCTACTCATTCACTTATTATAATTATTCTCCCAAAGGGACGGGTGCTTTAGGGAATCTCCAGATTCACGTTTGCTCTAATCTTTCTAGTTATTCTACATGTTCTGTTGTTTCTTATTATTCCCAAGGGGGCGGGCCTTTGGGGAATTGAAGATTCATGTTTTGCATATTAGCCTACTTATCATCGCCATGATTTTCTCCTTATTCCAAGAGAGGCGGGCGCCTTTGGGGGGATTCCGATTCATTGCTTTTTTCTATTGATTCTGCTTCTTGTTCTGATCATTCTCATTCCCAAAGGGACGGGAATTCCAGGCTCTTGTTTTTGCAACTGGTCATTCCCAAATTTGCGGACATTTGGGGAAATTCGGATTACTACCCGTGTTTCCAATTATTGCCAACGGGGCGGGTCCCTTCTACTTCTTATGATCAGTCTTCTCAAAGGAACAAGTGCCTTCTGGGAAGGTTCATGTGTGTTCAATTATTCTGGTTATTCTAACTGCTCTAATTTTCTAATTACTCCCACAGGGACGGGTGCCCTTGGGAAATTGAAAATTCATGTTTGGGAAATGTTGTCTACTCATCGTAGATATTATAATGATTATTCTTATTCCGAGAGGGGCAGGTGCCTTTTGTTGAGTTCCAGAATCATGTTTGTTTTTCAATGTTTTTAGTGATTCTACCTCTGATAACTGCTCTATTTATTATTGTCATTCCCAAAGGGACAGGTGCTTGTGGGGAGTTCCAGATTCTTGTTTTTCAATTTCTTCATTCCTCAAATTGGGGAATTTCAGACTCATAGTATCTCTAATCCTTCTACTTCAGATATTTTCTGTTTTTGGAAGTACCCGGATTATTTCAATTCTGCCCAACGGGACGGGTCCCTTTTGAGGAATTCCAGATTCATTTTCTAGTCTAGCGCTACTTATCAACTTGTTATAATCATTCTTCCCACAGGGACGTCGTTCCCAAAGGGACGGGTGCCTTTGTGGAGTTGAAGATTAATGTTTTGCAAATTAGCCTACTTATCATTGCTATTTTTGCTTCTACTTATTCCAAGAGGGGCGGGTGCCGTTTGGGGAATTCCAGGTTCATAGCTTTGCACCTTCTGATAATTGCTCTATGTATCATTCTCATTCCCAAAGGGTAGGGTGCTTTTGGGGAGGTCCAGAGTTCCACATTCATGTTTTCCAAACAATTACTTCCAGGGGGGGGAGAATTCCAGATCCATATTCTTGCTAATGATTGTACTTATCATAATGATTTGATTTAGTCCAATGGTTCCCAACGGGATGGGCCCCTTTCAGGAATTCCAGATCTATTATCTAATCCAATGATTCTCATGGTTCATAATCATGCTAAGTATTCTAATTATTCTCAAAGGGACGGGTGTTTTCTGGGGAGTTAAAGGTCAATCGCTTGGTACTTATTCTATTTCTCAACGTGGGTCTAATTAGCCTAATTACACGAATCTTTGAGAATCGTGTCAATATTTGGAAAACAGCACCTTATTTTGTCTAACTATTATAAACCAACATGATTTGAACAACTAGTCTACTTAGAATATGTCTTATAAAACAACATGCTTTCTACTCGAATATGTTCAAAGGGACGGGCGCCTTTTGGAGAACTCCAGATTCATTTGTGTCCAACATCCTAAATAGTTAGAACAAATGAACATGTTTGGGTAACTAAGTATTTAGATATTTCACACAATTTAAACAATTTCAAGGGCACCCCCTGGGCTAGTTCCGAAAATAAACTTTTCCTAATGAAAAAGTTCAAATAATTCCAAAATGCGAACTGCTTATTTTGATGAAAATGTTGGAGGTCCTGAACAACATATCTGTTCAAATAATCCAAGTTATGTCCAGGGCCCTTCCTGGGCCCATTGTAGAATATTTAAAGAATCTGGGTGTCTCGAATTCAAAC